TCTTTTATCTACTCAGAATGAGTGACCACGCCTAAATTTCACATCACTTTCAACGATTTGAGGAGCACTTATCTGCCTAGCCGTTTGCACGAGTGTTCAACTCAAAGTAACTATCTTGAAGGAGGAAATTGGTAACAAGTTAACCGTTCAAGTTCTATTAAATTGTCGGGCAAACTATTTGTTGTCCATAAGGAAGTTCATATTGCCCTGATCAAGGCACGTGACCAGAAGTAGTGTAAATTTTTCTAAAGGTATGAATGCCCACACTGTGTCTTCCTCACTAGTACATATTCCCTCTCACCATTATCCCTTTGTCTCCATTGCTCTGTGAATGGCTTTGCCTTGATTTTCTTCAAGCAGATAGTTTGCCCTCCACTGGAGGCCGGCTTTAGCTGTGGCAACCTTGTACACGCATCGATCTAGTGGTCTGTTGATCTGTTGGTCTTCTGCTCTGTCTGTTTGATCTTCTGCCCTCCAGATTGTCAGTGAGGAATGCCTATGGAGGTGTTTGTAATGTTGATAACCCATTCGCAGTATGGGCATCCAAGCCTGCGTAACCTATCGTTCGGGCCTGCGCTTGCAGGCCCATGGCGATTTGTAACCTTTCCGTGAATGTGTACTTTCACAATTGTTGGTGTCTCTGCAAATAGGTACCGTGTCCGATAAAAAAGCCAGGGCGCCCATAATAGAGCTGTGTGCTTAGCTTAAGTCTAGAGCGATAAGGCTGTTTCTCATGGCATTGCATATTGTGCACTATCGCCTCTGCAAACCGGCGAGGAATTTGCATCTCAGTTACCCTTCGGAGTTCATTCGAGGAGCGTTTACACCTTTCCAGAATAGGCCGCTTGTCAGTGGAACTTCCAGTACAACCCCGCTTGTCGGACACCCTGACTACATGGGCTTAGTTGATCCGACAGCAGACGTGAAGATGGTCTTCACCCTTAGACATCAGCACTGCCACAGACATCTGCCACTTCTTCGGAAGTGGGAACCGCTTGGAAAAGTTGGGCGACGTCGTGAATACGTTGACGCCATAGCACTTCACTTCCAATGCGTGATATCATAAAACCCTTTTCTAGCACCACCGTACAGTAGATCAACCGGATTCTTGGCATCTCGCAATATATGCTTACCTACATCTCATATTACAACGCCCCCACAAGCGTTTTTCGCAACTTGGTTGGGGCGACAGGCAGACCGTGTGGAATGTACCCAGTCCTGTGTCCTCTGTCATGACATTCATCATAATTTCCATCCCACCAGGTTGCCACAAGGGTTTTTGTGAAGATTTGAACAAATGAAGGTACCGTAAGGTGTAGATAGGAAATTTGGTCAATTAAAGTGAGATTAAGGGAACGGCACGTAACCCTGGGAGTCTGAGACAAAAGGGAGGGGAAAGAGATCCCACAAGTGTGGAACAGAAAATTGGTATTGCTGTGGAAGTTTTCATTTCGCATGAAAACCGCATGATCAGGACAATCGTTAATTGGGGGCATCGTCATACAACGGACAGTATCATAGCTGGAACTAATTCCGGCTAAAGCTTCACGTTAACGCTAAGTCCTCTTGATGATGAATCTGTCGAGTTTTAGTCTGTCATGTCGCAAACATCGTCATAGCGAGAAAGCACAATTTACAAAAAGGTCTTCTTTACTTGGTGCTAACTTGAAGCCTTTGCAAGACTTCCGTCAAGCGACATGACAGACAAGGGCTGAGCTCATTCTCAGTTTAAACGAGGAAGGAGGTCTCATAGACTACGTCAAATTGAGCGTCGTATTGATGCCAAACGGCTGCAGAACGATGAGACTCAGCAGTCGTCTTCCGATGACATAGGCCAACCAATCCTTTATCGTGCACTTTCGCAAGAATTGAAAGTCTCTGCAAAATTGTAATGTCAAGGTTCGCCGCAACCCAGCTACTTTTCGTATCTATAAAATTGGTGCACTTGTTACCCATCACTTTGACGAGTTGTAATTCGGTGCTTAGGATAGAGCCTCTCAGGGATCATTGTAACTTAATGGTGAGAACGAGATAAAACCAACAATATAAAGCTGAAGAAGGCTGCCATGAAACTTAAGCCCACATCATCTTGGTCTTCATGTTTAGGTTCTGATTGATCTCTTAAATACTTGCTCTCCACTTGTTCGCCATCTTTATTTAATGGATGGCGAACAACTGCCATTCAGCCCTACAAGGGTCTGGACGAATTCTATTCGAAATAAAGTGGTCTTACTTTGATATGACTGATCGAGTGGTGGGAATGTAAGAACATATATGTGAAAAAAAATGAAATTTAGTAAGATTCGAATTTATATTTCTAAGGAACAATTGGTTTGAAGGAATTCTTAAATTGGTCTTACCAGAAACAGCAGGATGGTTATTGCGGAGTGAAGACTTTTAACTTGTTGGAAGAAGTTCTCGGCTCACCACCCTGCGAGACTGATGAACCAGTGTTAAACTTTCGATTTTCATGTTACAGATATCGTCAAAGCAAGAAACCATACTTCACGAAATATACTGAACGAAGAGGAAAAGTGACTAGCTGCAAGCCTACTCACTTTTTATACCTAATTTTAGTTTCTTGTTTTGTTGCCTCATACTAAACCTACATGCTTAAAACTGAATAAAGTTGATGCGTGTAAAGGAGACGGACGGGGTGGAAACTGTTTATTTACATAACCAAACTGGTTTTAGGTGAAATAAATTCACGAATTTTTTCTAACTAAATGTTTCTTTTAAATATATTCTTCAGCAACCCTAAATATAAGACGATTTCAGTACAAGTTAACTGCCTGAGGTCACAAACAAACTTAAAGTCGTGGAGAAAAATATAGACGATCTTGAACAATAAGCATTTCATTCTGCATGAGGCTAAAGTCAAATTCACGGAAATCAGGCGGTTTTTTTGTATGAGATGGAGAATCGCTGCTAAACTGCGAAGACTTAAGTGTTGGTATGACCTCGTATCCGCGACTAGGTTGGAGCGACAAGGAGACTTGTGGTACCTACCTAGTCCTGCGTCCTTTGCCATAATATTCAAGATTATCTCCAGCATAGGACCGTTGACTTGGCACGTCTAGAAATTTACCAAATCAACTGTCCGATGCTGGAACTCATCATGCATAATATGGCAGAAGACGCAGAACTAGGTAAGTACCACAACGTCTTCTTGTTGCTCCGAAAACGAGGTCAAACTAGCACTGTGCAGATTAAAGAGAGTACAACCAAACAAAAGATCACACCATCTTGACCTTCATATCTACGGAGACTTAGGCCCACGAAAGTGAAGATCAGGAAAGGTGTGTTAGCTGGATAAAGCATAAGATAAGCAAGCATTCCAAGAATGCGCATTAGTAACTCTCTCTCTTTATA